GATTAGCTGTTTTGGGGGGGAAAAATGTAATTAAGAGCCAAATATGCAACAGCTTGTGTTGCCTGATGGATCATGCCTCACAATCCTCTAATTTAATGTTGTGTTTTTTTAAATATCCAAACTAATCCAGTTTACTGTGACATACATGTGTCACACTCCTGCTGTGTTATAATGTCAATCAAGCTGTTTTGAGGCAGGCCTTGCCTTCCCATCCCCCAGTGCAGAGGGGTCCTTGAGGGTGCCTCTCAGGGCAAATCTATACAGCCTATTAACAGAATGAATAGGCTTCTGGAATAATTATTTTTCCTCCATGATGTAAAAGAGCAACTGCAGTGTGTTAAACAATGGTGTGTATTTTCACATAAATGGTGCCTCATTATTGGAATTCACACACAAGTCACGACTGAGTAGTAACAACATGTTTTTCCAGGTTTTCCACTTGAGAGACAGAGAGGCCTTTTATTATCAAAGTGGCTATTGGTAGTTACAGACAGCTATTATGGGGAAAAGACAAGGGCAAACATGCTGTATATAGAACTTTATAGGGCTCCATTTGTTAACATGCAAACGTTTTTTCTTTTCCAACCAACAGATGAAACTAAACTGCACTGCACAAGTGAAATCAACTCACCTCATTGAGAGTGTAGGGTTTAAAATTTGTATCCAGTGTAGAGTGACTCAGATGTAAGAGTCTAGTATTAAAGGAGCTGTTCACAACAGTCAGAGCATTAATATAGTAGCAAACAACTACTTGCTATGTAAAGTTATAGTGTAGCAATTGCATCCTGAGCAGAGAATGAAGTCACACTCCCTCTGCCTGTTGTAATCAGAGCTTCCCTGTCTTTGTTGTGGTAGATGGTTCGGCCACATGTGCATGCGAGTCCCTGTGTGTGTAACCAACTGGCTGGCTAATCCCAGCCACTCTGCACTGCACTGGAACGGTGGTTACCATAGGTATGAGGACGCCGCCATTGCTGAAGTGAAGCACTAGCACTCCGATATCTCCCAGCTATCGATGCTAACAACGTTAGCTTTGTCAGCACTGTTGCTATTGTAAAGCGCTGTTTATTGAGTTAGCACTGTTAGCTGCTGGCTGCCGACTCAGCCACCTCCATGTTAAGAACAAGCCCCCAGGGACAGCGCCACATTTTGAAGCCAATTTTACATAGTGGCCAAATGTGGAACTACAGTGGTGGAAAAAAGTTTTCAGACACCCTTAAAATTTTACACAATCTCAAATATTATCATGAAATATTTGTGGAAAAATATTTTTTGTGTTTCAAAAGGTGTGGCTGCATTAGACAGATACAAACAAATACAAATTATATTTTTTTGTTTATTGAAAAACTAACAAAACTAAATTCTTGACCGTTTCAATATGTCAGTTCTCAACATTGTCGGTATCAAAGTCAACAAATAACAGAGAATGTGTTCAAAACTGAACAAAAAATAAATAAACCATCACATCATCAAATTAATATTTAGTAGTCCTGCCACTGACACGTAGTAGAGCTCTAATCCTGGCTGGCATGTTCCCCACGAGCCTTTTACACTGTTGAGGGGTAATCTTGTCCCATTCTTCTTGAATTACTGCATTTAATTCTTCTAAATTCTTTGGTTTATGCTTTGAAACAGACCTTTTGATAATCCACCACAGATTTTCAATGGGGCTCATGTCCGGGGATTGAGCTGGCCACTCTAAGACCTGGATACTGTGCTCCTGCAGCCAAGTTCTACTGGCCTTGGATGTGTGGCAAGGGGCATTATCTTGTTGAAACATCCAGTTTTTACCTCGACGGAACAGTGCACGCACAGAAGGGAGCATGTGGGTTTCGAGAATGGTACAATACTTGGTAGAGTTCAATGTGCCATCACAGACAGTGAGATGACCAACACCAGCAGCACTCATGCATCCCCAAACCATAATACTGCCTCCACCATGCTTGACAGTAGGTACTGTACATGCTGGAGATAATGCTTCGCCTGGCCTTCTGCGTACCCTCACATTAGTAGGAGGAAGATAAAGCTGGACACTGGACTCATCTGACCACAAAATCTTCTTACAATTCCTGGCTGTCCAGTTCTTGTGTGCCTGGGCCCAACGACGCTGGGCTAACCTCTGTCTCTCATTGATCAGGGGCTTCTTGATAGCCTTGTAGGACCTTAAGCCATGATCTAAAAGTCGGCCACGTACAGCGCGGGTGGAACACTGGACACAGTTTGGTTTGACCACTGCTGCTGAAGCTCCTGTGATGTCATTTGGCGGTTTTGCCTGCACATGCAGATCAGGATGCGGTCATTTCTTGCTGAAGAAACCCTTGGATGCCCAGATCTTGGTTTGTCTTCCAAGCTGTTGGTTCGTCTGTATTTCTGCAGAGTGTATCCAACTGCTGAAGGACTGCATCTGCACTTCCTGGCTATCTGGCAGCAGCTGTACCCTTCCTGGCTGAGAATCTTTATCTTCAGGCGTGTTTCCTGCGTTAGGTTCCTTGTTTAAGCCATTTTTGTGTCTGAAGAACGTTCAAATGTGCTGGCTTTATGTAGACACGAAGCTTGGCAACAAAAATTGTGTCTTTTAATAAAAAGAACGACCTTCATCACTGGTACCAAAATGACCCAATACTCAAAATTTCTTATGTATTTTTATGGAACCAATCAATTTTAAGTTTTTAATGGCTTTTTTAGGATTTATTTAGTATTTTGGCTGTGACTGTACTAAAAGAAATTGCACTTGAAGACCTAAGAGTGATTCTTAGTGCAGTATTTCACAAATGCATGGGGTGTCCGAAAACTTTTTTCCACCACTGTATAATGGCTGTGTCCATCACGTGTTGACATGGACACTTTCCCATAGACTTACACTGTGAAAGAGATGTCTGTAAATCAGTGGATTCTCTCTGAGCATCACAAACCCCACCATCAGGTTTGATCCATGCAGTCCAATAACACTTTGAAAGTCTAGAAGAGCTGCAAAATGGATTATTATTATTAATAGTAGTAGTAGTAGTAGTGGTATTTTTTAGGATTTTTGGGGGTGTTTTTGCATTTATTGATAGGAGAGCCACAGATTGACAAGAAAGGTGTGAGAGAGTGGGCTGCTGCAAAGGACTAGGGTTGCAACCGTATGAGATTTACTATCGCAATTTCACAGTGTGGCGGTATTACAGAGTTATTATTATTATAAGTCAAAATAACCCTTAAAGCAATGAAACTGAAGGGTTATTTTTGGTTGAAAAAAACTTTACTGAAATGAAAGTTTAATGAAAGTTCGTGTAATAGTAAAAGTTGAGATTGACCGCTGCAACCCTATTTGATTTTTTTTAAATTAAAGTTTGTGTAAAAAGTCTCCCTTTTGAAAATAACAAAAGTTGAGAAGCTCTGTCCAGTTGCATTTTTTCAATGTCATAGATAAGCAAATGTACACAGTATGATAACCGTCAATTTTAATATCACTGTATAGCTAAAAAACAGTTGTACCAGTTGTTACCGCTGTAACCCTACAAAGGACTCAGCTTTAGGGGCACACTATACCAGGTGAGCTAGAGGTGACCCCACCACTCAGCCACTGTAAGTCTCTAGCGCACTTGCTGTATGGATCCAACAATGCAGAAGATCCCAGTATTTCATACTGCTGAAATTGACCTCTTTAGCTTCATGCACAACTGAGCAACTTTCACAGCAACGATCAAGGCTTGCCTCCAATGCTGTATGAAGTTCGCTTATACATTCATTGTTGAGAACAGTGTGCAGACTATCCTGCCCCAGACTGTGAATCACATATATGCATATATGCATGAATGTTGCATAGCACTCTTTCAAAGTAAAGCACAATCACTGGTTCAATGGCCTTGTGTAATTTCCACCTACTGTATGGACAGTGTGGTGATGATTATGCTGCCGAGGACCTCACTGAAGAGAGCAGTCAATCTGCAGCTGATTGTTGCTCTTCTTTCTTTTCTGTTCTGCCTCTTATGATATTTCTTCTTTTTTTTTTAAATGTTCTGTTTCATGTGACCCTCAAACCACCTGATGCCTCTCTGGACTGCAGATTATGAACAATGTAAAGTGCTCCTACTTAACTCCACAAAGAACACATGCTTGGCCTCCTTCACTCTTACATTTATCCCTCATGCTAAAAAAATCCATACAAATGCTTGAGATGGTTGTTATGATTCTCTCTTTAAGCACAATAAATATCTTTGCCATACAACAATTCAACCACCTCAAATTGATGATGCTCACCTGCTACAGTTTGGCCCTTGGCCCTTTATGTGCTGAGCAGCAATGTGCACTTGTGTCATTCAGTTAGCAGTCTCAAATGCCAATCCTAGTGAAACACATAGTGATAGTTAGTTTTTAATCAAGCTCCTGGTTCTGGAGCTCCTGGTTTTCCCCTCCGGACCAGCACTTTAGTCCCTTATTTCTCATCAGCCTTTCCCATAATCCCTTTGGTTCTCTTGAAATTAGTTTTGAACCATTGCAGAAGGCCAATGAACAAAAGATCCAATATGCACAAACAAGGTGATTTTCTCCAAAGTGATGACATGAAGAAAGACTGCGGTCAATACATTCAATCTGCAATCAATTAATAGCTCCTGCTTGCTCTTCTGGCCCGTGTTCTCTCTTTCTGCATCTTTGTGTTTCTCTTTCTCCCACTCATCTCTCCATCTGTTCCTCTGCAGTCAATTGTTGTTGCAAATGTACTCATATCTTATAGTCCCTCTCCGCCTTTCAACCCTTTTCATTCAATCAATGCGGAGCATATTTTTAGTGTGAATTACAGCGACTTTGCCTCCCTCTCCAATTTCATTCTTCCGTCTCTGTCTCCAGCACATCACTCATTTGTAATAACAGTACGAAGCAACAATAAATCAAAATGTCTTTTTGTCCCTCTCACCCTTCCCTCAGCGCAGTCCAAAAATCACCAGAGCAGAAAGGAAACATGAATACAACAAAAACTTAACTAACATCTATCTTCTCTTCTCTCACTCGCTGTCCAGTTGATCTGAACCGTCTCTATGACGACGTAAAGCGGTACAGCTGTACGCCTCGCAACTACTCTGTGAACCTGCGCGAGGAGCTGAGGGTCACCAACGCCGTCTTCTTCCCGCGATGTCTGCTGGTCAAACGCTGTGGAGGCAACTGTGGCTGCGGAACAGAGAACTGGAACAACGGGTGCATCTGCCAGGCCTCCAAGACGACACTCAAACTACATGAGGTACACACACAAGCAAAACACACACATACACACTGACTACACAAATGCATGCTTGCTGAGATGGCTTGTGTGATAATTGGGACCTGGTGTGCAACATGGAGCAGCAACACCGGTTGAGAACAGCAGTGAGTCTAAAGTCATAATATGAAGAATGACAGATCATTACCAGTGATTTTGTAGGCGATGTCTTAATTAAAAATCATTGTTAGCGTAGTAGGAGTGTAGTGTGGACCTCTGACAGTGACGAAGCACAGGCATAAATTAAAGATAGACTGCTTTCATTTGCTGACATGCAGCATGTAAAGCATTTGTTGGATACTCATTCTATGAGCACTGGCATGGAAGTTTCGGGTGCCCGATGATTATTGTGATTAATGTGTATTTTTTTCCAGGCTTTTTTCCCCTGTTTCATTCTGCACCACAAGCGGGGAAAAATGAACCTATTTATCTGATCTGACATGACAAGAATCTCTTATATTCTCCATTATGCTTATTAAACTGACTTTATTTCCTTTTGCACAAGGCTGATAATTAAAATGACAAACGTTAAATACATTTACTTCTTTTAAAGAAGGCAGAAACGTGCATTTAATATCTTTATGCACATTCAACCCTGTCTCCTAGAAATTACGTCTGTATATTATTAAATTGCTTTTATAATTACGTTGCGGTGACAACATTATCACTGCCTGGATAATGTTCAGAGACCACGTTTCTTTGAGTTAATGAAACACCACATTTATGTACCACACTGCAGATTCGCAGGGAGGTGGTCGGGGTGGATGGTGTGCATACAGAGTGCAGGGCTAAGACACCTGAATCATGTGTTCTCATTGAGACTCCTGTCTTAAGCCCAGTTCAGACCAAAGATTTGTGATGAAACTAGTTGAAACAGTCAACTACTTGCAAAGTTCTAAAAACCTGCCGGTTTACACCAATGCAACTAGATGAGATGGTGTATCATCTCCATGCAGCAACTCTCTGCACCTTCGCTCTGATTTGCAGCTTTTAAGGCTTATTTTGTGGCTGAATATAATTTGTAGCTTCTTAAAATATGAATGAGGACAGTGACAGTGAGATATTGGCTACAGCTGCATTTGTAGTAGTGACGAAAGGGCGAAAAACATAAAACAAGCATCAGATGGACTGTATTCATAATAATACAGTCATTTTGACTTCACCAGCAGACTTCACTATCAGCTGATTGGCTTTAGAAACAGGTGATGTTTTTTACATTCTAAAACCAGCCACCAGTGATTTGACCAGCTGACTTGCAGGTGACACCATCAGTCGGCTTGCGTTAAGCTCAGACAACCACTGCAACTTTTCTCTGCAATGTTCCAAAACGGTTTCGTCTCGTCGCGAATCATCGGTCTGAACTAGGTTTATGCAACACAAGCACTCTGATTAATTGGGCTGTCTGCACAGTAGAAAGATGCAAATACTTTTGAAATTGGTGCTACATGATAAGAAATCAAAGAAAAAGGGCTGTGGCATTCGCTTTTGCTCAAGAGGTAGACTACAACTACCAAAATGCACTGGATACACTGGACCAATGAATGCTCCCACTGGTGGGTTGATGTAATGCGAGCTCATAGGAAACAATATGGCAGCTGGCTGGTAACAAAACAATCTCAAAATTACAGTTAAACTGTAAGCTAGAATATGTGTCTGAAAACATTTTAGCCAAGACAGGCAATACATTAACAGACTCTTGGTTCATATTTGATCAGCACTGCCTAGTTTTATTGTTTGATCTCAGTATTTTCAGGCTTCATTTTTGCAAATTCTCAGACAACAGCCCAGTAGTTCATTATTACATGTTTCTCAAGACAGTTTAGGTCAGTGGTTTCCAACTGGTGGGTCACAGACAAAAAGTGGGTCTCCGTTCTGGACCCTGTGGCTGGTTTCCACTGGTAACCACTGTTTTAGATGATACATTAACAGAATCTTGGTTCATATTTGATCCACACTGCCGAGTTTTACTGTTTGATCTCAGTATTTTCAGCCTTCATTTTTTAGTGGGCGGCTGTGGCTCAGAGGTAGAGTGGGTCATCCACCGATCGGAAGATCAGCAGTTTGATACCCGGCTCCTCCAGTCTGCATGTCGAAGCATTCTTGAGCAAGATACCGAACCCCAAATTGTTCCGATGATGCTTCCATCTGTGCTTTGAGTGATCGAATGACTAGAAAGACACTATACAAATGCAGGTCCACTTACAGTACAGGAAACAACACTACCTGCTTCTTGTTCATAAATTCTCAAACAGCAGCCAAACAGTGCACTAATACATGTGTCTGAAGACATTTTAGGTGATACAGTAACAGAATCTTGGTTCATATTGGATCAACACTGCCTGTTGTTACAGTTTGGTTTAAGAGAGGAGAAAAGAAAGCATCTCTTTATGGTAATTTTCAGTAACGGCAGAACTGTAATTTTCACTCACATCTATATTTTTTAAAATATATTCTGACCCAAGGCCGACTGCGGATGCCTCAGTTAAACAAATCCTCGTCCCCGTGTTCTATGATAGTGCGCCTGTTATTGAGCCATTTGGGAAGTGCAGACCAGATTTATGTGTTGTACCCCAATGATATGACGCCATGACTTTTCCTCTTTTTAACCTATCGATAAATATGCGGAAGTACAATCTGTAGTTTGAGCAGCAGCCCTAAAGTCCGTGAAAATCTGCTGCAAGTTTCATAGACTTGAGCTGAGAGATGAGCAAAGGAGAGCTCGGTGCTGGTTAGACGGAGGGAAGGTTACCACAGTTCATTTACACATACTACACACATTGTTATGGTACAAAGATAATTGAAAGCTGCAAAGTATCCCTTTAAGGTTAGGGAAAGATTTGGGTCAAATGTTAATGAAAAGGTAATAAGAAAAAATAAAAGGCACTCAAAGTGCACAGTGTATTGCAAGGCCGCCTATTTTGGCAGAAAACAGATGAAAGGCATTGTAAGTGAACATTTAGGGGATATATTCAGTATCAAAATCTTTTGCAACTTGCCAGGTTTATTAATCAGCAATATTGACTCATTATGTTAACACCACGTTTCCCTCAAACATATTTGTTGTTTCGAATTTGCTGTGTACAAACCTGATTTCTAGGAGATGCTTGTGCATGCTGTTGCCTCTCTATTAATGATGGCATTCATTGTAGACTAGAGCTGTGCTGAAGTGTTACGGCAGAGTGATGTGGGGGCTTATTTGACTAACATGTCAAATAAATTTCCAGCATATTTTAGGTGTGTGTCTGAAAGGTGTGAGCAAGTGACTGAGTGAGAAGGAGAGAGATACTGGGGCGTGCAGAGGCAGGCGCCGCATCAACAATGAAGCAGCAATGCACCAACAGCTTCACACTTTCTCCCTGCTCCTCTCCTCCATTCGCGTCTACGCTGGTCACCGTCTTTCTCTCCCCCGATCTTTCCATATCTCTCTCAATGCATTGTTAGCATTCTATCACTCTCGCTGTCTCTCTGGGCTCCCATCATCCTTTCATTCTTCCCAATTCCCATTTTCAATTTATCCCTTTGCAATGCACCATTCTTGTTCTTTAAGCCTGTCATTCATTCTTTTCTCGCTCTTCCCTCCATCTCTTTGTGTCTTTGTTCTCGTATAGCTTCATTATTGAAACATGGTCCGCAGGGCTCCCTCTCTCTCACACACACACTGTTCAAAAATCATACAATGGAAATTTAGACAAAAGTGGGATTTGGGTTGTAATTGTGCTGTGTGTGTGTGCGTATGTGTGTGTGTGTGTGTAAGTCACTGCATGTGTGAGCATGAAAAAGGTGTTTGTGTCTGTATATACTGTGCATGCAGAAAACTGCTTGCATGTCTCATGAGTGTGTGGTTGTGTTGCATTGGGTGTTTATGGGGGTGTGTTTGACTCCTCTCCTCTCCTCTCCTCTCCCTTCACTGACTTAACTTCTAAAGAAACACATTATTACTCACACTATTGTTTCAGTGCTGGGAAGTCCTGACATAAATCATGGGCAGCCCTGCCTTCACTGAGCGTTGGGGAACAAATTGACTGCATCAGTTGTAGAACAATTTGTACTTTCAGTCCATTTTCACATTAGTAGTGGCACCTGCGAACAATGTGGCCATCTGCAACAAAGCCAGTTAGAGTGAAGCATTGAATAATTCTAACTATAAAATCAATTCCATTGTACTTTTAGAGACTCGCAGTGTAAACAGAGCATTGAAACCTCTCTTTTGACTCCACATTTGTATAACGGGCTAACTTTTGTTTAAAACCACGATAGGCAAACTTTTTGATGATAAAACAGAAAACTGTATCAGTAATTGTATATGTCATATGTGTGTACACTGTGATTATGTTTGGTATGCTTTCTAAGATACTACTGTTTTCTCTTTGTACAATCAGCAATAAGTCCCTTGGCAACATGTCCCGGATGAATGGATGAATGAATGTTAAGATAATACACAGTGTAGGAATCCCCGTGTGTTCAGTGATGATAACAAGGGAAGGGTGCATATACAATTGTCTCAGTACACCACTGCATTCTCAGGCTATATGATCAGACTGCAATTTTTTTTGATCAGATGAGATGTTTTGTTTGGCTGTTCACTAAGGCTGCACAATAACCAAATAAATAAATAATATATTGCCATTATTTAGACAAATCATCTGATTGCAATATGAGTTGCAATCGTGGTGGGAATAGTAATTTTGGCATTTCATTTTTACTGAAAACAGTATAAAAATGATGATGATGTGATTTTTGCTGGAGTCTGTACCAAGCAAGTATGTTCCCTATATCTGGAATATGATTCATAGGCCGGGGCCTGTCTATAGCACCACTATGCTTCTTTTATAATGGTATGTTACGCACATTTTACCTTAATCAAAAAAAAAATGCAGCTTATGCAATCTGGGTATTGCACTTGCCTATATTGCAATTTCAATAATATTTCGATTAACTGTGCAGCCCTAGTGTTCACATTATTTTTATTTATTCATTTATTTAACCTTTATTTAACCAGGAAGTCCCATTGAGATGGAAACTCTCTTTTACAAGAGAGACCTGGCCGAGGTAGCAGCCAATCAGAATACATTAAAATGCCACAACTACAACATGCAACACAAAAATCCACGATAAAACAACAACTATTCAAACATAGTGGCCTCTGAAGAAAAACAAGCACATGTCTCTGTTACCTCATTCTTTATGATGCTCTTAAATTAATCAATTGATATAAGTGTTTCTAATTATAGATTGTTCAATGTCCAAGGTGCAGAGTAGGAGAATTCAGTTTTCCCCAGATCTGTTGTGGCCAATATCAGATTCAGATGTGAACTGGTCACAGTCCTGGTCCACATGCCATGTACTAAACAACAATAACAAAGACGTCACACGCAGCACATAGTGTTGAAGTCAACATGGAGGCCACTGAAGTCAGTGTTTATGGTTTCATTTATGAGTTGATGTGCAGTGGACGCCGATGAATTTGTGAGCTGACAATGAATGAGTTTGAGGAGAAAGAGAGCTGTGTCTGATTTAGGACCACATATGAAAGTGACCCAGATCAGAAGATCAGATTCCATGCTAGTGCTAGCTTTGTGCCATTCACACTCTTGTTTCAGTGTCAAGTTTTTTATTCTTTAAAACAAACTTTACACATCGCAATATCGATAGGTGTTTTTCCAAAAAATCTTGTGATATAAGATTCTCTTAATATTGCCCAGTCCTACCTAACATTTACCAACCATCGAGGCAAAAATAAATCCATCCTCTAACCCTTCTCTTCATCTTTGCCGTCTCATTCTCTGACCCCTTTAGGTGCTGAAATACTCCCCAGAGGTCACTCTGCATCAGCGCCATCGGAGGCCACGGGTGCGCTGGATCATAGATGAGATCTTCCTCACACACCATGAAAAGTGCGAGTGTGCGTGTCCCTCCCAGCCCCCTCGCTGAGACACCCTGACCGGCACATTCATCTGGAACTGTTGGACAAGTTCTTCTTTTTATCTTTTTTGCTACGAACTTCATATAATTACAGCAACGCAGACACACGCGCCGCAAAGAAGGCGGCAACAATTTGACTGACAAACAGCAGCTAGCACCATTCAGTGACATTTGTTCTTGCAGATAAACCACCTCCCTTCCTCTGTACACAGGCTAAACTTGTAATGCATAAATATTTCCAGCCCAACAAGTTTGTTATTTAACATTCCTACAGCTTGGAGTCTAAATTTTCCCTGTTTCAATCAGTTTTTTCCTTCAAAAACTACACACAAAAGATTCTTTGGACTACAAAAAAATACCATTCCATGCTATTAAAAACATAACACCAATGTTGCATCAAACTTACATCGTGATTTGAGGAGTTTAATGGATGCCAACTTAATTGGATTGATATTTAATTGACTTCAACCACTGTGTAAACAGTTTTTCATTCCTATTTCATGTGTATGTTTTTGCATTCCGTCGTGTTATATAAAGAGCGTTTGTAGAAACTTCAGGCACTTCTTCTGCCAGGAGCACACTGAGATGAGTGAGCGTGAGACAGAAGGAGGGAGGGAGAGGGGTTGGAAGTGTAAACCAAAATAACACTTTATCTTGATGTGAAATTAGGCTAACCACAACCCTCCAGATCTGAATTGCACACTAACGCACTCACACACATTCGCTCTAGGCTTCCGCGCCCACCTAAAGACAAAAAGTGAAGTTATTTATACTGAATTCTTCACTGCTCTATTTTCCAGTGAAGCCCTCCTTTGTTTTGCACACATTCCTGCCTGCATATATTCACGCTTGCCTTTGTCTGTCCTTCCATCCATACGTGTCTTTTCTTTCTTTCTCACTGCATCGCACACACACATACTCTCCCTTCATCACACACTCTCTAACACATCAAAGGAGATGTCAGATCAGGCTGCTGCCCGGTTTTCTGAGCGTTCCAGGCATTCCAACTGCTAACTAGAATTCTGCTTACATAGTTAAAACCATGAACCTCAGACCCTGAACACGTAAGAGGAAAGAGAGTTGTTTAGGAGAGGCGGCTGACAGAAGAGGGACAATCAAGCCTCCTGTTCGTAGATTACCGGCACTCCTGGATGGGAGATGAGAGAGGAGCCACTTCGGAGACACAACACAAAAAAGATTGCAGCTACTTCAGCAGGTTCAATCAGCATGTTCATTTTTTGCGCTTGCCTGATTTTTTTGTCAAGCTGCTTTTACTCCTCGCAAAGATGCTCACATGTATCACAATCTGACCCGCTGCTTTGCAAGTCTGCTGCAGCACCACAGTGAAAAGAGATCTGTGGGAATTAGAGTCATGTTGTTAGTCTCTGCTGAAAATACCACTGATAATTGAGAGTGTGTGTGTGTGTGTGTGTGTGTGTGTGTGTGTGTGTGCATGTGAGTGCCAGTCTGCCTGTAACAGCTCAGGAAGAGGTCCTTTTGTTTAAGGGGTGGAGGGTTACCAACAGTCTGTGAGAGCTGGCAGCCGATACAAGCATGGGAATGGTCGGCATGTGACTGTGCGTGCAAGTGCGTGCATATGTGTGTGTGTGTGTGTGTGTGTGTGTGTGTAGGTAGCTAGAGTATCAAAGCAATAGAGCAAGAATTCAAAGTAACAGCTTATCATTGCCAAACACATGACCCAGCTGTGAGGAATAAATCATCAGTCATCTCTCCATCATCACCTCCCATGTGTCACACGCTCAGGCCCGCTTACAGGCCAGATTTACACAGAAAATGGGATTTTACACACTACTTTTGTTCTAAAGACAGACAAAAAAAGAGAATAACCGGACACTGAGACGATTCCGCGGTCACAGTGAAACCCGATCAGCTGTGTGCCGGCGCTCTTTCATGTGCATGTGTGCGCTGTAAGTCACGGGTTTTATTTGGCAGGTGTGGGATACAAAACACCCTTCAATGGTCCAAAAGTGTGTCAGGTTGTGCGGTAGTCACATTCCAAGTAATTTCCCAGACAGACAGACAGACAGACAGACACACACACACACACACACACACACACACACACACACACACACAGAAAGCAGCTTCACTCTGCTGTAAAGCTTTTGTCTTCTGTTCGCTTGTGAAATTAGCTCTCATTCCTGTGGGTTTCATTTTGAAACAGAGATAAACACAAAGCTCATACAGAGTGGGTGATTTTTTCAAATTTCGCAGACGATGCTTGGCAGGTAAATCTCCACTTTATATTTTCAGTATCTAACGAGCCAGATGGTGATGAGGTAATGTGTCGTTTTCCAAGATGCTCTGTTGCAAAATGTACAGTCACTCTAGCAAGACGTTTTATCAACTCTGCTGCAAATTCATGTATTTTAAATGTACGTGAGGGGTGTGTGTGTGTGTGTGTGTATGTGTGTGTGTGTGTGCTTCCTGTGTCTGCCAGTTTGCTGGTGTTATCAGCACATTCCATTGTTTCGTGGCACAAAGACACATTCCTCTTTTCCTCAAAACTGGTTCATTTTCTCCTCCAGTTTATTACAATAGAACCACATGAGTTTCAACATCAGACACGTAAAACTGTATCATTGTTTGAGTTTTTGTTTTATTTTTGTAGGGCTGCCCCCCAATAGTCAACCAAACGTTAGTCGACCAGAGAGATCATTAGTCAGCAAGATTTCATTGGTCACTTAATCGCAGGAAGAAAAAAAAAAAGCTCTTGAAAGCTGGCACAAGACTAGCGCCCAGCATCTGGCCTCGCATTTCCAGGCAGTTAAAGACATGGCATGTATATACATGGCATGTATATAGCCCCTAATTTCCAGGGCTGGTACCTGCGGTTATTCCACAGGCTAGTTAATAACATGTCGGGCAGGAAATCCAAAGTGTGGGATCATTTTGAGAAGGTGAAGGACGAACCCAAGGTGATATGTTAACTCATCTTCATTGGTCGACTACAAACATGACGTATCATCTGAAACATGGAAGTAGCTGATGCCCATTAGCCACTTAGCACAATCATTACTGCTTTGCCAACAGCGTCATTAACAGGCGGCTCGCTCAGTGTGTGACGTGCACTTGTAGATAAAATATAGGCCTATATTAATGAAGGTTCATTAGTACGGTTTTGTATTTCTCTGTAATGTAGCACAGTGTTAACAATGTTACTGATACTATTCTTTCTCACACCGTCAACTCAAACCATTGTGTTGCCCCGCCCAAAATATAGAATTTAATTAATATCGTAAACATACGGGTGACTAGTCAACTAATGGCCCTAAATGACAACTCTTGGTTGACTAGGAAAATTCTTAATCTGGGGCAGCCCTGATTTTTTGTTTGTTTACAACAACTAGAGCCCTTTTCAGAGGTCGTCTATGATCTTAATCCCCTGCGAATCTGCCATGTCCATAATTTCTCAAGTGAAAATTCCACTGCAAATTCCCTACCATATTTCGCCAAACACAGAGGTTCTGCGATAGTTTTAGTCCCATTAGAATCGACATCCCGGTCAAGAACTATGGAGGCTGCTTTGTCAATTACAAATGACACTTTTGACAGCATTATAGGTGGAAGAGGCTCATCTCGCTACACATCATGGAGACCTGTTTGCAGAAAAAGCGAGCTCAAATCAATCAGAAGAGCAAAATCTCGAAAGACCTTAGGACAGATTATGCGACAATGTGTGGCAGAATCTGTTTAGTTTGTTTAACCCACATTTAAAAGAAAAAGGGAGGTTAATACTGTACATCACCTGTAGTGGTGCTGTTTAGGGTTTCTGTCTTGTGTAAGAAATGACTTTGCGCAATACTAGTCCCATGCAAGTAGGCCTAAAGAGTGTTGCTTTGGATAAGCTTTGAATAAGATTCGTCCAGAGTTTCGGCTTCACTTCTGAGGATTCTGGGTGACTGATTGTACTGTCATATTTTCAACTCAGAGAAAAGTTGTTAGTTTTAAGAACCTGCTTTGCTGTATTCAGAAAAATATTCATGACAAAACTGTATGCTTCACTTAAATAATTTATTGTGTCTTTCTCTGTTGTTTTATTAAACATATCAGCTGGTTGGTCTTGATAAATAAAGTGTTTCTAGCAACACTGCCTCCACTGCTTTGATTATTTTTCCCCACCAAAATATGCTTTCATCAGATATTTGACTGTACAGTGCTGTATATGATACTGGACTACTGCTTGTTTGATCACCTGTAGAAAGCCTAAAAGGGAAAGGTGTTATGTGTCTGTGGATACCTCACACTGGAAAGAGACATGATGGGAGAAAGTGGGACACAACTACGTATGAACACAAGCGCAGAGAGCGAGAGGAAGAAAGAGCTTGGATGCAGAACAATGAGGTTGTTGTGCTGCTTTGCTGCTCTCAGACACATCTTAGCACATAACACATGGAGCACACAGGTCACCATGGAAACCGCAGATGTGCTTTTAAGACTAATGTGTCAGTGGCAAGTTAAGGAGAGGTCATATAATTGTGCCAATCAAATGTCTCCCACTTATAGCCTTCCACAAACACTTTTTTCCTCTTCTACTTTGCAGCAGCACATTTCCAAGGCTTTGATCCTGTGAGTTACACCCATCCAGCCACATGGGATAGGTTTAGGTAGCCTGACAATCAGTCTGAATTGTCACTCTCTTTTGTATCACTGAAAAATCTGAGATGTGGGCAGCAATTCAGCTGTTTTATGGAGTATTCATATCATTAGGGAGGGATAATGGAGGTTGGACACATTCCCATTTTGTCGACTTGCAAGCATTCACATTAGCAGACAGCTGAAGATTGTCATATGATTACAGAACATGTTGTATGAGAGTTAAGAAGACTAAAAGTCTACTGTTGAGTCATGCTGGCAGCCTAAAGGAGGCTTTGCTTCTGCACAGTGGTGCTTTAAAACCAAATGCTCAAAATGACAATGTTAACATGCTGATGTTAAGTCAGTACAGTGTTTACCATGTTTGGGATCTTAGTATGCTGATGTTTCTTAGGAAACAATAAGCACAAAGTACAGCTAAGGCTGACAGAATGCCATTAGCAGGAATTCGGTCACAAACCAAATTATTGGACACACAAATTTTGATCTGATAATGGCTAAAGGAGCAGCGTGCACGACTTAGTGGCATCTTGCAGTGAGGATTGCTCATCAAAACCCACAGAGACTTCTTGCGTATGCCACGCAAGAACTCCTAGTAAGGATTCCTTCAGCATTAATTGTCCGGGGGGTTTTCAGAGCCTAAGTATCTGAAGCCGAAGTAGAGGTCTTTGCCTCTCCAGAACAAATGGGGCACATGACTTCAACCAGCAAAAACACTGAATGAAGCAATTCCACGCTAAAAATCTGTGTTTTTCCAATGCCGTTTGGCTCAGTGTGGAGGGGCTGCTAACTAAAGTGGCCGCAAAAACGCAAATGGCTCTGTCTGTAGCCAGTGTAAATTTGTCCGTTCTGGGCTACTGTAGAAACATGGTGGTGCAACATGGTGGACTCCGTAAACAAGGACAAGGTTTTTATTGAAAGCAGAACTATCTGCAGAGGTCTTTTCCTTTACTTCTTTTCTTCTCCAAAACAAATGAATCAGGTGATTAAAATTGGTGAAAACACTGAATAAAGCAGCTTCACATTACAACTCAGTGTTTCTCCAACATTGTTTGGCGCATCACACACAAGCTGCTAGCCCAGCACCCTCTAATGTGTCATCGCTTTTGTTTTCTTACCTAAGTTAAGATCCAGACGTTCAAGAGGTTTTAACTTGGAGCTGCATTATCTTCAGAGGGAACAAACGGACCCAGTAGTCCAATCAAATCATGAGGTAATAAGACTGAATAAAAAGGTTTCCTGTTTAAAAAAACTTGCTCATTGCGGGGGAGCTACTGATTATGGTAGCTGAGCTTTTTCAGTTACGATACCGATCCCGATGCTGTGGCTTTGATTATCAGCCGACACCCGATACCGATCTGATACCATGGTTGACCTAAAAAGCTATACACCTTTACATGTAGAACAGAAAAGACTAGAGGCATCAGACATTGATGACTACACAGTTCTTGCCTAAGATAAAATGAAACAAGATGAAACAGATTAATGCAATGAACTATTTATTTTTAACAAAAATAAACAATTGTGCTCCAGCAGTTGAAATAGTGTGAAATACCTCCACACAGCAGATTCTCTCCTTCTCTCCACGACATATGACGTAGCTCGCGTTGCAATAGATTTAAAGGGAAAGGATTGCCTCAGGCATAGGTTGCATTTTCTGATACCCAATCCATTTATTTTGATGATATCGGGGCCAATATTTGATCCAGATATCGTATCGGTGCATCCCTACTCTGGGGTACAGTTGAACATGGCAGTGCATCATGTTGGACTCTGTAGACAATGACCTGCTCCCTAAGTAGATTTAAGAAAAATGAAGAAAAATTAAATTGTTTTTGCAGAGGAAAAGTCAGGAGATAACAAAGGCAGGAAGCTTCATCTTCCAGTGATAATCCCTGTCCATTTTAAGACTATCCGTACAATAGTAAATATCACAGTCTGGACCAAAGTAGTGGGCCTGTGATGTGGCATAGCTGAAAACACTGAACTAAAGATATCGGACAACATTCATTACATTTTGGTTTTATAATGTTAAACAATGAACTTTGGCTGACATTAGGCATCCATGTTTGTTCCTGTATTGTTACGGTTGATATATCAAGATATTTAGAACGATGAGTTTTCCCGTCATAATAAGAACATGGATGCTGACGTAAACTCCATTTGCAAGTCAGAAACGGGTTGTTACTCTAACTGCTATATGACACAGATACAGTATTATCCACTTGGTTAAAAAGACCATGATAATGGTCAAAATGTATTGAGAAAAAAGGTCACAGTTTAAATGAATATAGGCTACTACTATCCATGCCTTTTGATTCAAGTCCTTTTCTATATCTCTCAAGGCTGTTTCCTGTCCCAGCGGTTGCTGTGGCAACCCTTCCTGTGCTGTTATCATTACACAGCAGTCTCCCTTGTACAGCCAGCCAGTCACATCCCACATGCCACCAACCAGCCAGTCATTTGTCCATCTGTCCATCTTAGTGCCCATCATTCCGTCACTGACAACTTTGAGTTATTCTACGAGAAAGAGGTTCAACAAAACAACGTAACCTTCTCTCAGTCCCCGTGGAGATGAGAAAGACTGAATAAGAAACATACTGCGAGATAAACAAGAGTGAGCAGAATTAAGATTAAGGTTATATACTGAGGTAAATATGAAGAGTGAGAGAGACATAAGGGAGGGCAGATCAATCATAAAAGAGAGAAGGTCAGAGAGAGAGGGGGCACGCTATTTGTTTGAACTCATCATTCCTACAAGGCTGTTTTGGTGTCCGTCTGTCAGCAGCAGCTTATCTTTTCCTTGTGGGCAAACATACACAGGCACGCACGCACACAAAATGTCAACTTGCTTTGTTTTAGAGATTAGGCTGTCCTTATGTTGAATTGCCTTTTTCTTTCTCAAAACATGCATAAATTTAAATGAAACTATCAGATAGTACCATAAATAAGGCCTTGTCATTCTTGACCCCTTTTACACCTTGCATTAAAATTTCGACTCTGCAACAAAAAGTATACCCCACAGCCCCTGCAGTCTAAACAAGCCCTGCCTCCACCTGTCAGCAACTATTATTTCAACCAGGAGAGACAGGTGAATGAAGTAAAGGTAACTATTTAATGCAGGCTACAGGTGTACAGATTAACAGATACAGAACTGCTGATGGTGGTGGTGGCTGATGAATGTGAGGCTGATGAGGCTGATGAATCTGCAAAGACTAGGCAGTGATGGGGAGGTGGAGGCAAACAGAGAGGGTGTGTTGCTGTGCTATTGGTTAGCTGAGACCAGCTGACAGAACAGCT